CATAAGAATTGTACTTGTAAATTTGATTCTTACTTGAAATGTGGCAAAGTTGTAACAAATTTATGTATGTTTATAGACTTACATGTACAAATTTAGACTCTTACACATACAATGATTCTGACAGTTCTCTTACCCCATAGCACGGAGTTGTCGCTGTGTTTTGGGATTCAGAAAATGATCTGTTTCACCACCAGAGGGGGATATTCCCCTGCCTGGCCTTTCATCATAACTAAACATTCAGTTTTATGAATAAAACACAGACATATGTTCATAAATGTGTTGAATGACTGTCACTCTGTGATTATAAAGGCTTTGCAGCGATACTTATGGTAGCTTTTAGCCAAATGGCCCTGATTTTATCACTCAGATTAAAAATAGCGATTTTTTTCCCCCCAGGTAGGTCAGAGCTTTGTTGGCCAAGCCGAATTGTTAAATATCTTTCCAAATGTATCAAGTTTTGTGTAGCTAGCCCCTTCCTCTCTCAAGTTATGGCTAAAATGGTCTGTTTTCAAGTAGAGTTCTCTGCACTGATTGCTCATAAACAGACATCCAGTGACTGCAGAGAACTCTACTTGAAAACAGACCATTTTAGTCATAACTTGAGACAGGAAAGGGCTAGCAGCAAGAAACTTGAAAGCCATACATTTAGAAAGATGCTTAACAATTCGGCTTGGCCAACAAAGCTCTGACCTACCCAGAAAAAAAAATCGCATTTTTAATCTGAGTGATAAAATCATGGCTATTTGGTCAAATCACTTTGGCAATCATTTGGCAATCACTGGATGAAAGTTATCTTCAGTGATGAGTTAATAATCTGCATTGGACAAGGTGATGATAAAACAGTGAAGGCATTCCTTGGAGAAAGACACTTTCAGTCGATGTCATGGCCTGCAAATAGTCCAGATCTCAACCCAATTGAAAACCTGTGGTGGAAATTGAAAAAAAAAAAAAAAGTCCACAAGAAGGCTCCGACCTGCAAAGCTGATCTGGCAACTGCTATCAAAGAGAGTTGGCACCAAACTGATGAAGAATACTGTTTGTCACTCATCAAGTCCATGCCTCAGAGACTGCAAGCCATTATAAAAGCAAAAGGTGGTGCAACTAAATACTAGTGATGTATTTTGAATGGTCGTTTGTTCGTCTGTTTTTCATGATTCCGTACTTTTTTCCTCAGAATTGAGTGATTCCACATTTTTTGTCCCTGTGCTTAGTCAATAAAAGTAACAATCTCTGACTTCCACAACGTTTTCTCTTCATTTCTTTGAGTGTTCCTGAAAGCCAACAAGTTGCTCTTCGGAATGACCTTATTATTGTGTCATGTTTTTGATGTGAGTTTTGTTTTACAGAATGAAATGTCTGAATGAGTGCTCATCCAAGACTGGTGATTCCATAATTTTTGCCAGGGGTTGTACAACAAAAGCCTCAAAACATGAAAAATAAAATCTCTTTTAGAGGGTTGAATTTCATAAGCCCATGAATAAAACCTATAAAACAATAAAACACTGAGATTATTTGCTTAGTACTTGTCAGTATTTGTAAGAGGATGTGTTTAAACAGTTTCTATGCTGAAAGTAGAGCTTCATTGATTACTGTTGTTAGCATGGTGTTAGTGTAAGCATGATGATAATAGGAAAGGAAAAACAGCCTCATGTTTCCTGTTCAGTCGAAGTTTATTTAGAACGGCTTGAAAAGAACAAAAACATAATTGGTTAACAGTGAGTTTAAAAAGCTTTCTCTGACTGTATTTTGTTTTGTTTACTAAGGCCTTGTTGGCTACATTTTTAAAGCTTTGTCAGAACTACACGGACATTGATTTTAATTAGAATCACCATAAATCAAAGTTAAACTGTGTTTAACTAAGTTAATCTACTTTTAACTACTACCAAACTACTTCCTTCAGATTTCAGTGACCAATATGTGTAGAAAAATGTTTGCTGTCTGATTAATG